TTTGTCTTGTCGGGAACATTGAAATTCCAGCTGCCATGCAGTTCTTTGAGCGTTGGCTTTACAACGCCAAAGCACAAGCGGCGGAGAATAGGAAGCCACTTCCAACGGTTGAACTGTGTGACCTTCGCAGATCGATACTATCCAACACAATATCTCTCTCAAAATTATTCTTAAAATGACACAAAGAGATCTGAACTGTTGTTTCAGGCTCATTGGCTATATCGCAAAAGTGCAAGTATATGCCCAGATATGGGAAACGATCCCATAGGACTTAAACTTACCCATCCAAAGCACCCATAATCTCACAGACGCCCTTCCTTCGATACGCCTTTTATAGGCTCAATCACTTTTACGTCCTTTGCCTGTGGTGTGCGCAGCATGACCGGCGGAATAACAGCATGATAGGACGCCATTTGCAAATTTTAGAAATCGAGCCAAACTTTCAGATTTTAGAAATGGATGCTAGCAGAATTCATGACTCTGCTCGCTTTAAAGATTGCCTGATAGGGGCGTACATCGGCGATTGTGCCGGTGGGATGTTCAAGCGAGAAAAGCGCGATATCCAACCAATCGCCTTTCCGACCGTTGTGGAAACATTGTCCTCCAAGAGTTGCTGGATGCCAAGTAGCTATATGTATCGTATTTGAGTGGGGCGGCAGCTCACTCACTCATTGACTGTCAAAAGTTTATCGATACACACCTTGCTCAGAATCTGGCCGATTGTTATTTCCAATTTCCAGAAAGACGACAGTTTTTCACTACTGTAAAAGATGAGTTCTTTGCGTGAAAACTCAACGGAATCCAGCCAAAACAGTCTATTTTCCGGCCGCCCTAATATGCCGTGGAACTGGCTCGTACGGAAACGGTGCCGCTGTTCGAGTGGCACCGTTGGTTCTGCATAACTAGTATGATCTGGATTCTGCTCTGAAAGACGTGGATCAGAGTTCTCGTTAGACGCTCGGCAATTTGCTTGCCGTTCGCGGAGCCAAGCTGCAGGCCTGCGCAAGTTTTTAAACTGTGCATTTGCAGCATCCAGACCCTGCTGGCTTTATTACTACGCTCATAAGTTTCTGTGACAGTATGGAAGTCAATAATCAGTTCAAGTTTTACAGTAACCGTTTAAAGAAAATGCAGAAGTTCTTGGCAGACAATACGGAACCGCAGGACGTAGTCAAAGCTCTGGGCAATGGAATTAAAGCGTTGAAAACTGTGCCGTTGGCGATCTATTGCGCTGTGCGTGCAATGTCACCAGCTGCTGTATTTTATTTTTTGTTTTTACTCTTTTAATTCTAATATAAGACAGGAATATAAATTCATGGCAAAATTACGAATTTATATTCCTGCCTGATATTAGAATCACTATCGGTGTGCCGGTATGCGGAGATTTGCCATGTGCTGAACACGGACGGGCAGGAGATTGCGGGTAACCCTGATGCACGGCAACAACACGCAAGTTCGATTCATAGTCAAAAATTATGTTGGTTTTTCCATAATTTCTGACTATGAATTGTACTTGCGTGTTTTGCCTTTTCCCGAACTTCGTCCCCCAAATCCATCTAGGACCGCGCGATTGAAATTCCCTGTTGATAAACAGAATTCTGGTTACCAACAGCGAATTAGAAGGTCAAGAGAAATCAAAGGCAAATCGCGAACTTTAATCGCGTGCAGTGCTTGCTCGACGACGACCTCCGCGTGGTGCCTCCTCGAAGACGGACATCTCCCTCAGCCGTGATCATACATTCATGACCATGATTTATGAATTTATGGCACAAATCATGGCCATGAATAGATGATTACGTGGTGTGCCCTGCCACGCTCGAGGTTTATGTACTACGTCCACCGATGTTTATATTTCTGAAAACTACTGTGATATAATTCTTCTGTGATATTTAATTTTACGTGCGTTCAACTAATCTATTTATAATTTTTGCCGCTGATTTTTACGCGGCGCAGTAAATTAATTTTTTCATAATTTCGCTGCGGATTCTTAAGCAACGCTATTATAAAGACTTTTGTTATTAGTCACTGCAACGGCACCAAATTGTCCACCATCGATATCGCACATGGAACGACGGCTGCTCCCTTGCGACCTGCTAGGCATTTAAAATTCAAAAATGAAACCACGCTAACTTTCTCTTTCAGAAATGTACTCCATTAATCCGCCGAACGACTACACCTCGGCCATGCCTTTACCGGGTAGGATTAAATTTTAGACCGTCGCTCATTTTAAAACAATTTCTTAACATAATTTATTATTGAAAATCTTGACCTGGATTTGCAGATGCCGATGTGACAGTGTCTAACGTGATCTATGCCTGTGTGGGAATCTTGGCTGCTGCTCTCACAGCTGTCTCTGTTGTCTGCGTGATTCGGCGTGGCTGGGCTGCATTGAAAGCCCGTTCAGCACGTGGAGCAGCATATGGCCCAGAGGCTATTGAACTGTCAAATCGCTACGATTGTGGAGGACGCGGTTTAAACAGCCCTGTATAGATTTTCTCCTGATTATGTAGTGATGTATTTTGATGATCGAAATGCTTCCGTTGTGGTAAAACAGCTTTTTTTTACGATTCAGAAACAGTTTGTTTTTGTAAGGAACATTAACTTTCCTTTTTTTACGTGATCTGAGATGCATTTTGTACAGACGAAAATTTTTTGCAATAAACTTCAGCAGATTTCCGGTATTATTGCCGCATAAATTATTGTGCCGCAGTGCAGACAGCGTCAGCTGATCGACTATGTACAACATCGATTAAAAGAGTTCACAGCAGAAGACACAATTGCCGTAAAGAATCTTGCAAGCTCTCAGGACAGCGTCAGGCGCTTCAGTAACGTACACACGCACGTATAATCATATTCCTACACATTTACGTTGATTCATTTATAGAGAGAAGATAGAAATGCCGCACAATGGCCTGCGGCGCGTAAAAGTGAGCATTGATCAGCTGATCACCTTGACACACATACCAACCTGGCCTTTTGACCTCGACCGTTGCGACCGTTGGTCATTTTTTAATCTATTCTATTGTTCAAGCTCATTAAACATGTAAATCCCGGTTACTTTTAGAGTACTGTCCACTATCGTTGGAGATGGCGCTGCCGGTGCCCAACAGCGACGGCGTGCGGGCTCTGTGGGTGTGGTTGACAGCGATCGCGCCGGACGAGGCCAAGAGCTGTTACACACGGCAGTCTGTAAAGTAAACGAATCGCGAATTATGGTCGCAAACTGCTTCCCTACGAACAGATTCGCGACCCGTTGGGAAATTCACCCCAGCGCGTATCGCTAACATCGGACGATTTCGTTCTGATGGCATGCAGTTTCCCTACCGGGTACTGGACGAAGCCGTCTGTTTTCCTTATTATTCGAATCTTATGAATATTAGGAAAATTAGAATCGGCCGTAAATCATTAGTAAGTGATTCAGTTTCTGATCAAGCGCATTCTGTTCGGCTGCTGTTATGCCGAACGTAGACCGCGGATCCGCTTTCGTCTTTGCATTACCGAGGGAAGATGTGGTGCGGGGATGGACTACAGGATCTGCGCTGGGAGTGACTGTCTCGCATTGTCCTGAGCGTTCTGATGAACCTGTGTGACCTTGAACGGACCGCGAGTGGTCGGATGACTCGGATTAGTTAATTCAGATTAAGCTTATTCAAAAGCGATCTCTTGCAGTCCTGTCACTATTTTGTAGCGCATTTTTTGTTTTGGTTGATATTCTGTCGCAGATCGTTACGATTTATAACTTCTCCTTTTGCAATGTTTCTGGCTCATTACGCACAAAAACAGGTTCAACCTACTGTAACTGTAACCCATAGAGCATCTGGCAAGAAAAATTATTCCAGCAACAATACATCATCGCGAAGAAAACTAATAAGGTACCAATCCACCGATCACATCGACAATCCGACAGTTAGCTCACAACATCCGAGTAAAGATACAAAATGCTATCAGGAAGGGGATTTGAAAATTCTCAAAAAAAAGAAACAAGGAAAAGAAAATAAATTATACGGCACCGTTTCGTCAGCTGCAGTCCGGAGCGCGCCTCAGCGGCGTTTCATCTTCATGACTACGCAGTCAAATGGATAGGCGGGAGTCGGTAATTCTTTGGAAGCAGCGCCCAGGTGTCCCTCTCGTGATCGTACACCACTATAGTGTAATAACCATTACCATTTTTTACCCGTCGATCCCCTCCAATGGCGTACAGCTTCCCCTCCACGTACGCGCATCCGGGATAAATGTGGTCCATGACCAGATCCGCTGCAGTCACATAACGATGATGCCACTACTATGCCCAAGCAGCAAGCTACGAGGTTTCCCGTACTTAGTCACTTCGCGTATATAACTTCATAAATTTTGTCACCGTCCATTAAGCGCACTACTTGATTTAAGGCCGATCGCTTAAGTTATGCATCCGCACTCGAGTTTATAAATTTCAGTTCAGTTTTTATCCAAACACATGTTGGCGGACCGTACTATTTATCAGCTGAAATGAATTTCGTAAGGAAAAATGGTTTACTGACAAATAACAACGGATAATTGTTGAAAGCGCCGTTTAACGCAGAAATCAAACTGCAACGAACAACGAACTAGCACCCACCCTTTCTAACCCAATGGCCGGTGGCCGGGTCATAAGCCTCCACGCGCCAAAGGTCCTTCGCATCCACGCCACCACCTACACGTTGCATAAGACAACTACTTCGACAGCTGAACGATTTCAACCATGCCATGCTGTCTTTTGTATATGATAACACGCGTACAGAAAACAAAGATCAATCTGCCTTGACCCACGCAGGCAGTAAAGTATGTGCGTCCAAGCGGCATGTTATGCAGCCGGGTCCATTTATCTAAATCAGGATCGTAAAAAAAGACACATTGCCAAGAATTGTCGTCGCCTTCTCCGCCCAACACAAACAGTCGACCGTCACATGCCACCATGGCAAAAGCCGTACAGGCCAATGGGCAGCGGAGCAGCATCGCTCCAGGTATTGCTTTGCTGATGGAAGACTTCCAAGGACGTCTGTGTGCCGTCATCATAGCAACCGGCGAAGTAAATCCTATCATTAAGCGAGGCAAGCGTCGCCCTCCGGCGCGACGTCGGGTCCACCACGCGCCACTCATCACGGAGGCTCACATAGCGAATGCCCCCCCGGACGATGTGCATGCCGTGATGGTGGGAAACGAGAATGGAAACGGCGTCCAGCAACACGCTGCGGCATTACCGTATGAATGGCGCGGTGTAGTGCTCTGCGCTTCCCGAGAGCCAGTCCATAGGCGGCCATTGCGGACTGCCATTCCTCCCGATACTGGTCGCTGAGGAATGCAGCGCGAACATTCTGCAGGACGGCGGCCATGTGCGCCATTCGTCCGGCACGGTCGTGGTCCAAGCAACGCCTCACCGCCTCCCACACATGGTCCTCACTAAACACCTCCACTGCATTCGATGCGATCAGCGACGTCAACTGCAAATGAATTCACTAAGCGCATGGCGAATGTGATATGTATGCAGGGTGTAATCATCATTAAATTTTTTGATTACTTTCAGATAGTTATAGTCTTGAGTAAGGCTGAACTTCCAACAACAGTTATCAAATAATTCGAAAAGGAATCGCGCTGAAATATAGTTAAATCGAAAGTCGAAATCCAAAGAAAATCAAATTTTTGTCTAGAAACAGTTATTAGTTTTTATAGTACAAGCAGTGATTTTATAAAATCCGCATTTTACATGGTTTCTCCATTTTCCAAAATGCTAATTGCTAAGAAAACAAGTTCTTTAATTTTTGAAACCTTCAAAGTATTTGAAGTCCAGCTTGATTGTGGAATGCTGAATTTAATCTGAAGTTATAGCATTAAATCCTACCTCCAACTGTACAGTTAATCTGTTTTTAAACATAGCGCACGAAAATGCATTTATCAAACAAGCGGACTGAGTACCTGTTGCGTGTCCATCTGTAAAAATTCCAGGCTTTGGGCCAAGCTGAGAAAGTGCAGATGGAACAAGTGCAGAGCTGCGCTGGCCAGACGAGGGTTGTTATGCTGCGAAGCCAGAACGTGGACGTCCAGGCAGTTGGACAGAGGCAGGCGCTGCTTCACGTACTTCCAGCACATTCTGGCCACTGGAGTCATCTTCAGGAACTGCGCCGCAATCAAAACAGGCACGATGGTGTCATCGCTCAGGCGCAGATCCATCGTGTAGGAATACGTCACCAAGCTACGGGGATTCGAGTCTGATCACAGAATGATTGCTGATAACAACACAGCTGCATAAACTCACAAAACATTATCACTGACGCTGACTCATGCAATAGCGAAAGAACAAAAGTGAAATCTCCAGCTCTTCGGTTAATATGCAGATTTTAATATTTACGATTAGACTGCCAGGTTGCACATGCAATGGAGCGCTATGACTGATCGCCGAAGCAGCTTAGCTGAATTACCATCGTGCTACGCTGTTACGAGGACTTACACCTTCAATGTGGAGCTATCGATGTTGGCCAGCCGGAAAACTGGTTCAGAAGATTCTTTCCAGCTGTGCGCGAAGGCAGCGCGAAAGTAGGGACTCTGCACGCTGAGCACTGTGCGATGACAAGGAATCCCCTGCGAAGATTCGTCACTGCCTTTCAAGACGACGTCGCAGAAGGTGCCCGTTGCCTGCAGATCACGCATTCCGCGCATGAACTCCATCGCCGTCGCGGGACAATCCCGAGAAGGTCGGTGATCTGCAGAGCTGCTCGGCTTCGACATGGTGCAGGGAATTAGGAGGTGAAACTATCAAGCAGCTACAAACCGATGGTCAGGAAACTGCAACTAGTGATTGGCACAGCGGGCAGTCAGGAACGTAACTGTAACTTTGTAAGTGAACACACTTGATGGTGCACAAATTAAATAAGAATAATAACTCTCTAGCACCGACCTGCTGTGTAATTAAATTTTGAAATAAAAAGAAAAGCTGTGACATTGTAGTGTACACTGTTTGCAATCAGAGAGTCGCTTCTACTGTGCACTACCTGCAAAGCAGGTGCAAAAGTTGCTGCATGTACTTACAGTACGACTGCTCGACTTGTCGTTCATAAAGCGGCATCCATAAATTACGTAACGCAAAAATTCGACATTTTGATACCCCCCTCCCCCTATGTCACCAGTGCTAACGAACTCAGATCCCCTCCCCTGAGCGCTACGTAACAAATTTAGAACCCCTCCATAGATATAGCATGGTGACGTCAGAATCGTAACAAAGTTTTTAATACCCCCTCTCCCTTTGTAACAACAGTAACGCTTTCACGACCTCCCCCCTCCCCCAACTTGCGTGACGTAATTTATGGATACCGCCTCGACGAGTTGTGCAACCGAGTTGTGCAACCGAACAGACAGACAGTAGTCACAGTACTACTGTAACTTAATACACGCATAGTATATTCTGTGTGATGAGTAATTTGTACATGTACAGTTGCACTTGACTGCTAACGTAAAAATCATAATAATTAATACGAGTCGTATTACATAGAGTCACAGACAAACCGTAACTGCCGGCCTCAACGCGACATCAAATCCAGGCGAGTCAAATTGGAAACTGTTTGAGGCAGCGCCCAAACAAATTTTAATTCTCAATGCAGTGGCATTTCTGCCGATTTTAATTTTTTTCTTGTGTTCGTTCAGCGGTGAAGAAAAACAAAAAGAGCTGCTCAATAAAAAGTAGGAAGCGAGGTACACAACAGTTACTTGATAAAATAAAAGGTTCAGTCGTGTGATTTGGTAGCTCACAGTTAGTCGTCGAGCCGCTGCGCGGTTCGTACTTGAACAAGTACTCGTACTTACTGTACTTAAACACCGCTCGTGCCGAAGTAGACAAGTACTGTTTATACATGCAAATATAACAGCATTTACATGTACATTATTTGATGAAAGGTCAAAAAGGTCAAAAAAGAAAGAAATTAGCGGTGGAAAAATGTCAAAATTATTTCGCAAAGAAAAACTGATTAGCTAAAACAAAGAAATTTAGCGGTTGGAAAGCCAAGATACAGTACTTTGTATATTTCTGAGACAAAACACTTTGCGAGAAATAAATGGGAAGCTCATAATAAAAATAATTATAAAATTAATCATAAAAACTCATAAAAACTTGAATCAATCACCGTTGGAAAAATACCAGAAAATCTACAGTATTGATAACCAATAAGTTACAGGCACAAGTACTTTTCATAGAATCCTTAAGGATCGAAGCTGCAGTTTCCCCTTCCCCCGGACACTTCGTACGAATGCTAAATCTGGCTGTTCGTCTCCTCATCGACATCGAGTTTAATCAGCTTATCATTCGTATCTGCAGAACCACCGAAAAATTTCACGTAATTAAAGCATAAAATCACAACTTCCGAAATAAAAATCTCACGTTACCAAATCAGGCAAAACAACTTCTTCTTAAATACTGTACGAGGACATTTGGGTGCTGTGAACATACCCTGCACGATTAGGCTGCGATGAACAGCTGGTTAGCCGTAGCTCGCAACGCTACTGATATCACAGTCTGAATGCAAACGGCTATAAATTTAGCCGGCTGTTCATCGCAGCCTAATCGTGCAGGGTAAGGATGGTAATATCCAATATCCAAAAGTGTATCCAGAGCATAAATATCCAAATATCATATCCATATCCCGAGCTGTCTCGAAAGATACGGATATTTTTGGATATTTAGTGGATATGGTGGATACAAAGATACAGCAGGATATTGACGGATGTAAGACAGATCCGTCCTATATAAATATATTCCTTCCAGAAAAGGCATTTAAAAATTACTATTACTATACATGCTTCGACTCTTCTCAACAACGTATCAGCTTGGCTGAATATTTTGAAAACGGATCACCCAATTATTCAGCTAATTTGATGGTACAAAAATTTCAAGATCAGCAAGTTTGCGTAGACATCAATATCATCTGGCGTTCTATCGGTGTCTCCGCAAAATAGACATAAATGTGCAAATCACAATAATTGATTTTACGCTGAAACAAAAGTTTTGTATCGTAATCTCGGAGCCGTCGCACTAAGGCTCGCACTGGAACTACCTCGTACGATTAGCTTAACATACCCTGCACTGCAGGGTATGTTCACAGCACCCAAATGTCCTCGTACAAACAAAGTTTTCGTATATTTATACGATTATAAAGTACAGTCCACCGTTCAGGATTATCCAGCTGAAAAAAGTTGAGCAAGTCCCAAATTACAAAGTTATCACGCCACAACTGGAGATAAACCACACAAGTTCATGTCAATCGACGCAAACGGTACGGTGTGTCTGAACCACTGCACTACAAATGCCTCAATTTAAGCTGCTCGCTACGACGATCGAAGTAACCTCCTTAAAAGTTAAAACAACCGGTACGACGTCCATATTAAGAGTTCTCGTTCGCTTAGTTACTACACAAACCCTTTCGCTTTCTATAAGGAAATAAAATATAAAATCTGAAACAATCTTGCAGGAAGCTTGCCCCAGTTTTTATTTATATGAAACAAATGATTAGACCATACACTGTTGAAGTTCAACAGTGTAGCTTCCTGCCGGCAATTTGCTTTGCGAATACAGTTATCGTGTGTTCTCAACACAGTACGTTAGTAACGGCACCCTTGTTTTCTAACATACCCAGTAATACTCATTTTTTTTTAAACTTCTTTTTCTTCGCCTACCGTAGGCAATGCTCATTTACGGTCACAAATCGGGTTAAGCTTGAGGTAGTCTAATTTTAAACAAAGTAATGCACTAATTTGAAATTAGATATTGCGCCCCACTGCTTGATAGTCCGCAGCGTCAACTTGCATCCGTCAAATCCGTACCACCCGACGAGAACCGCTACACTACGAAATTCTCAATTGCACTAGCTCCTTACAATGCTACGAGACTTTGACAATTCATGCTCGATGTTTCTCACAAACTGCGGCACGTCCGCTTAGCGGCAACACTTGACGCAAGAAAATACGAAATGTTTCCCTGAATTTTTCAAGTGCAAAAATCATGGAGAGGTCTTCCAGGTCGGTTTTCCAATTTTTATTTAAATACATATAATTCAAGAAAATATCGGTCGTTCGTTAGATGCTTTTACGTCACAGCATTTCTAATACAAGCTATGATTGCCGTTGTGCTGGCATACTTCTATACGAATAAATAATTATTGCAAAGCAAATGTTTTAATAGGCAATGCCGCAATAGCCATCAAAATAACAAAAAAGTGCAAGGGCGGGCACACTACATCAGAGTAAATATTGTAAACAAATAAATAAAATTAAGTCTTGTAAATGTTGTCCATATTGTAGATTTATTTTTCTTCCACAGTGCAGATATTATACCACAGGAAACGCGGAGGCAAAGCGGAAGCTGCTCCTTGTAGAACCATACGTGCCGGTGCATGTATGTGTATATTACATTGTACGCACGTATTTGTATAAGTACATGTATCACATATTATTGGTTAACGTGTTTTGACGTTGCAATACGCAGTTCATTGTTGGTACTTCGTAGTGATTCTGTACGCGCGTTGGAGTTTCAAGTTCACTGGTTTTGAGCTTGTACAGTACAGAGTACATTACAATGTTGCACAAGTCTGTGCTTGTAGACAGCTTTATTTATTTCACAAAGTTATTTTTTGGCATTGTTTTAAATTTTAATTATGTATTTAGTCGGTGCTACAGTTTTACTGGCACAAAATAATCTGGTAACATATTTATTTCGTATTTTTTATAGACAATAAAGATGAAAACTCAATAAAAAAATTATGTTTTAATTTATTAGATTTACATGCTTAGTTGCCAGACTGCTAATTACAGTTAGAGAGTCAAACCAGGAGCAACATTAGCCATCACACTACAATATCACACAATTTACACTGCCTGCAGCTTGTCGGCCTTGTTGTCGATGTCCGGCAGCTGTCCTCCACCACTTTGATACAGCTGTGCGCTATGCGCATTCCTCACCTGCACAGTCCCACGAAAGAATGTCACTCTCCGTACTGCTCCAGATATGTTGTTTCCAAAAACTGCAAAACCTTGCACACCGACGTACTTTATATAAAG